ACAGCTCCAACCCTAATTAAAACTCACCTGCCTGTAGCTTTCTAGTAACCCTTCAGGTCTTGATTAGCTTGTTCAGGTGTGTTTGATTAGGGTTGACGCAAAACTCTGCAGGGCTGCGGCTCTCCAGGACCGACGTTCGCCGGTGTCGACCTGTTACTGTCGGGTCAGTGTTGCCACCTTATGGACAAACTATATTACTGCGAGCTGAGAGTACAGAGTAAATCTGTACAGAGAAAAATCTGGCTTGTACAATGCTTAAATTTAGTGTAAACATGAAAACTGAGGTACACTGGGTTCAGGGAATGTTCAAATCTATGTTTTAGCAGTAGTAAAAGTGATACTTGACTTGGCAAACATCACTAATGAGAGAATTAGGACGTTTGAGGTGGATGGATAGAAAATGCTGATTCTAGTCTAGTCCTTTGTAAAATGCAAAGGCTGGGACTTCATGGAACTGTGCAAAATGCAAATGTCTAAGCTTGTCTGCTTCCCCTTTTCCCTGTACTCCCTCTCTCTCATATGCCAGCTTTACCCTCAAGACATGTTGCCCTCCTGTTCCATGCGACACGCTCTGTCACATGTCCTCTCGTTGCAGCTTATCGCTGCTGCGTTTGTGACCAGAATCGAGATGATTGCAGCGTAAAGCTTTTCCTCTAGTCTCGTTCTGCTGACGTGTATGATCCACAGTGACATGACACCGGCACTGACATGCCTTCATTCTTAAAACCTTCCATGACAGGCTTACTTGCAAGACCCCCAGGGTCAAGGTTACTTGCAAGACCATGGATGATGCCACTGTTTCCCAGCACCCATCCTGTGCGATGCATCTATGACCTATTTAACCCTTGACCTGCAGTCGCCCACCGTGAACGACCGTGAGAGAGTATGAGATGGGTGTGGGGCTCTGGAGCAGTGTTCTGGGTTTACAGACACAGACCTGCAACTGCTCTGCCATCTGCCGGTGGTTTGAGAGAAGTGCACCCTTAATATTCAACTAGCCTACATCCAAGACTGGTCTTAATGTTTCAAAGCCTTTAGGTGTATAATGCTACTAAAGTGGTACACAGAATGTGGTCTTCCTCTAGATAATTTTTTTTTTTTTTTTGGTCAAAATTTTAGATTTTGGTATTAATCAAGCATCATTTTTACACTATTTTAAATTGTTTAATTTAATTTTATATTTAATTATTTATATTTAATAAATGCAAAGGATTGCTCCGGAAATCTCTATACAAAATATGCTTTTCTTTTTCACCTGTTTCCAATGCCCCCTGTTTTATACAATATACTATTCTGCCAACTCAGTATTTTTCTGTTTGATGCCGATACATTTGTTTTCCTTTTGTATCTTTTACAGATCCTGTTTGACCAGGCCCAGAGATCCGTAAAGCAACAGTTGCACAATTTTGTGAAGGAGTGAGTCCTTTATTCTTTTTCCTGCCCTTGTTTCAGTTTTTTCCCCCCTTTTCCCTGCCCTCTGTGATGTGCGCGTCGTACCCTGCAATATGTCTTACCTCTGTATGTGACAATACGCAGGGATGTTCGAAAGTTTAAAGAGACGAAGAAGCAGTTCGATAAGGTGCGGGAGGATATGGAGATCGCCCAGGTGAAGAACGCACAGGCACCTCGTAACAAACCGCATGAGGTAGAGGAGGCCAGCAGCACCCTCATCACGACCCGGAAGTGCTTCCGGCATCTCGCCCTGGACTATGTGTTGCAGGTATTTCAAAATAAAAGTGATAGTTCACCCAAAAATAAATTTACTTTATTATTTACTCACCCTTAAAGTTCTGGTAGCCAATGTTGATATTTCAAATCACCAAAAAAACATGCCCCTACCGCAAAAGGATCTCGCCCCTATTTTGATAGCTCCACCCCACACATACATACGCAACCCAGGCAACGATTAGTTCTGTGAAACAAAGCAAATCCAATGTTACACCGTGTCTACACCGGACGCGAGTGGTGCGGCGCGATAAAATACTATAGATCTATAGAAATACTATAGTGATGCTGTCTACACCATATATATATATATATATATATATATA